CGCCGCGGCTATTGTCACTCATAGCTACGAGAACTGACTATCGAAAGCACTCCAAGAAGTTCTGGTAAAATTTTAAAGTTCCGCAAAACATCAACATTTTGAGACGTCCCTTATGATAATCGAATTCTCGCCGTAAAATAGACGCGGTGTATTTGACGGCGTAACGAGGTGAATACAAGGTTTTACGTCGTAAAATTTAGGACGTGATATCTGACAGAGGAATTTGATCCCCTTGAACGTAAAAAAGGTGTCAGAAAGTCAAATATGTACTCAAAGTGTTTTGAAGAGTAATGAACGCCATAGTCCCTCAATCTGGAAGCGGGATTTTTCATCGATTCTATAATGCACAGCAACTGAAACAGATATAGGTCAACATTTAAAACCGTTTTCGTAATTTTGCCTATACAAAATAACAACAAATTTTTCACGCATACTAATCATTGCTGTTCTGAGGGCCCAACAGCATTTTCTCATTTTATTCGTAAAACATGCCAAAAATAGACGTGATTTGCTATCTTTCCAATGGACATCTACAGCTTTGTCGAATTTGGGACTGCTGCGATTGATAGTAGTATTGTCCCCGACGAGTTAATCAAATAAACGAAGTCTTAAGGCGGAAATCAATTGTTCGCAAGGAACAGATCTTAAAACGGACAGCTCCCTAAATATGACCGTCAGTGTGTGAAACAAAAGGTTTCGTATTACATTAAACATCGTGATATCATTGCAACACGTTTAAGAAAGCAGTACTAAGACAAAATATTTCGGAAAATTTCCATCACGTTTCCTACAAAATGACTTGAACCGTCTGTGATATCTTTATTCGCTGAGTTTTCATAATCCTTCGAATGTCAAACATCAAATTTCTCCTCTTAAACAAGTTTCAAGTTCTACTGAACTTGAGGCAAACGGCAGAAACTAAACAAAAGAAACCTAAATGAAATTAAGATAGCGTAGGTGATTTGGGTGAAATTAAGCGTTAAAAAATTTGATTGAGTCATTTATTAACTGAACCAGTAAAATTTATTGTACTTGATTTGATATTAATGCTAGTCTTATATTGGTGTACCATGGGTAATTTAGAACGCTCCTGCTTCTTTTAAGGTGAAGCAAAGGACTTTAAAAGCAATATAGATTTAATAGGCCTCAAATTGAGAGTCCAATACAAATTAATACGAGAGATCATAAACAAAATTAAGTTTCTCGCAGATTCATTTGAATCAGTAAAAGTCATTTGATAATAATCCACGGCTAAGCCATGTCAAAGAGTTTCTCAGTTAGAAAAAAATGAAACTTTCTTGGGAGGTAGGCGAACCTATCCTGCCTTTCGGAGAAATTTCATTTTCGGATTCGTTCTAGTGACTGCTATATCTGTTGGACTATGCGTCTAAATTATGTGAAAAAGCCTCTTTCCCCTACCTGCGTAAGTTTCTAAAGAAATTGTGGTGCTGCGTCGTTGGGGGGATTACCAGATAACGCGGTGTTATTAACTCAGGTGATGACGCAACTTATGTAGAAATTAAATGCATTAGTTATGTCCATCATGCAAGCAGGACAACAGAACACTTCCAGATTTCAACTTCGCCCTATTTATAACGCACACTTCACGTAAGATATCGACACGAAATAATTGGTTTAGAAAAAAACCGGTTCAATAGGGGATAAAGCCGATCCGTGATCTTAGCTGCACACCGTCCTCATTGAACGTGGGAGTGTTCATTAATTATTAGAGGAATTTTTCTTACCAGACGCATCAGAAGAAATCTACAGAAAATGCTGCCAGTTGATCAGCCTCTCGTGGCTCGTTTCAAGCCCAATCATGTGACTTCTAAGTAAAAAGTATCCTTTATGAGCCCTTTATTACCAGGATTTTCTTAATTTAGCTCGGCGGGGGCCACACTTGGTTAAGAATATTGAAACAACATCCCCCTGTTCTGGCTGAAACAGGAAGCAGTTGTTTTTTATAAGAAAAATTAAAAGCAATAGATATCTTTAATTTTCTTTTCATCCATTTATAACTTGACAGGGTCTTTGTTTGTGGTTTCTCGATCTTTTTCTGGCTTGAATTTGCTTTCTTTCAGTGATGAGTAATGATTTAATTTATGAGTGGGTTGGTTACCGAAACTGTTAAGGTTGTTCTGCAAGCATCCACTCGACGTGTACTTTAAAAGTGTTAACATGAAACACAGGGTTTTGCACAAAAAGGTTTCAACAAACCCTTGATTATTTTCCAAATTCATAAATTCCTTGAGGATATGCAACCCAGTTTACCGTTTTTTTTTTCTGGCGGAATAACGTTAATTTGTAAATATTTATTTAGAGCTCGTATCTTGTGTTGACTGGCTAGTTGCCATTGACCATTATGCTGCTGTGAATGAATTCACTAAGTGTCCAAAGGTCTGACGATGTTAACTGCCAGTCTCGTTGTAAACTTAAACCTACCAACAGTGGTGGGGCAAACATGAATGCTTTGAGTGTCATTTAACGTGAACGAAAAGCCATCCAGGTGTTCGTTAACGTCCGGCGCTTCCAAACGGGAGCAATAAATAAATATATAAATCAATCAATCAAGTTATTAGTGTCCTGACGTAGGATGAAGTTGCTCTTCAATTGAGGTAGAGCCTCAAATATAAAGCACGTGGCAAATCATTAGTTTA